ATACACTGCTACTAAGGACATCTGTATGATGGGGTGTTCTGTTTTTATAATAAAAAGATTTTCCCCCCCGCCCCCAGATTTGTTGGAATTATTTAAACTGGGATTCTTGATCTTGGAAATATGAAGAAACTGAATCTGGGTTTAGTTCTGTTTTTCTTACCTTGGAAAGTAAGAAAGTGGCATCTATATAGACTCATCTCTGCAGAGGTTAAGATAATATTTAATTGTTGTTGTAGATGATCAAGTTCTACATTCAGTAGCATTTGTTTCTATTTCTCTTTATGATAGGAAATTTTTGAAACACCAGCTGAGAGGAAAGAACTGTGAACTCCTATTGGTGGTGCCAGAGGAGGTGGAAGCACATCAGACCTGGAGAGCTGACGTGTGACCTGGGCCAACTCTGTCCTCCCACTACAGTTCTTCCCCTTTACCAAATTCCTGATGTCCTAAAACCTGGATGATGGGTGCCCCAACTCTCTTCGTCTGGAATTCCCTTTGTTAGGCTCTTCTCTTCCTTCCTTGGTGCAATAGGGCAATGGCACAGGACACTGGGGGTGGTGGGTGGGAAGAACTGAGGGCAGAGCAGAGGAAACTGGAAGCCAATCACTTTAATTGCAAGGTGGATGAGCTGCAGTGCCCTTTGGCCAGCTGGAAGGCATCACACTCTTGAAAAACTGGGCTGGGGAGAAAGAGTGCCAGAAACCCTGGGCCTCCATTTCCCCACGTGGTTCAAGGCTGTGTGTGGTGGGATGCTGCTCCCTCCAGGGCTTGTCAGGAAGGAGCAGGGACCGAGCATGCTGCCACCTCTTTACAGTTCCCTCCCTCCCAAACACGTTGTTGTGAAGACATTTGCAATTCCTAAGGGTCTCTCAGGACACTCAAAACACTAGGAATGGTACGGTGCTCAGCACGACCCTCTGCTTCTTAGGGCTGGTTTGTGCCAGGAATTAGGAAACAATAATAAAACCAGAGTCATCTTCTAAGAAATTCTTTGGGTAGTAGCTAGAGGATTCTTCCCCAGGGTCTCCAGGGATTTATGTATGTGGTGAGTGGTTGTTTGGCAGTGTGTGTCTGGCTAAGGTGACATGGAAACAGCAAGCACAGGATGACTGAGGAGTATCAAGTTTCTGGACTGGAGAGAGGCCACAGTCTGCTTGGGTTTCTTCGTGCTATGGTGGGGTTTTTTTTACTATTTTTTAACAGTTATTTTGGTTTTCTGCATGGTCACTCAGTAGTTTAGGGGCTCCTTGGAGAGAGGAATAAAGCTGAAGAGGTTTTCAAATAATTAATTCCCCTTTATTTTCCTCTCTCCCGAAGTCCAGCCTACAGTCACAGATGTAATGTAAATGAAAGAGGTCAAGTTATAAAATAACAATGGGCTGAGGAGGGAAGCCTTTATAGCAGTCAGTTTTGCCCTTTTATTGCTACCATCTGCTGGTGTGGGAGCTGCAGAGGGTCCACCAGAACTTCCAGGCCTTGGAGACACCCTGGCTTGGTAGTTGAAGCAACCTCTCCTTTAGCATTGGCCAACAAACATTCCATTAATGGGTGAATTGCTTTTCTCTGCTTTCCATGGGGAAGAGAGACTAGACACAGAGACACTAAGAGGAATCTCCACTGGCTGTTTCCCAGTCTCCCAGGAGAGCTGCAGCTCGGCCATGCCTTCCATGGCAGGAGGAGAAAATGCTGAATCTGGAACTCACTTTGTTGTGTTTAGCACCTCCTGGCTGAGGTGCTGTTTGCTTCCATCTTTACATGTGTTGGTTGAACAGCAACCTCTGGGACCTGATGGAGCTCGAAGGATCCTGTTCCATCATGCAGGGAACTCATTACTGATGTTTGAGCTGGCAAAGGAGGGATGGCAATGACCTTTTCTCAGTTATTTTTCTCTTCAGAGCTCTGCAAACACACGAGCAGGTGCTCGAACCTCAGAGACCACCGCAGTGGCAGCGTCCCAGCAGAGAACACAGGCCACATGACGACAGGACGAGGGTGCTGCTGACCCCTGGGCATCTGGCAAGCACCTCTGCAGTCCTTTGAGCACAGCCTCCCACAGTCAAGGGCAAATGGCTCTTACATTTTAAAAAGTCCTATTTCGTAACACATTCCAATGACCAATACCAGCTGGCAGAGTTTTTAAACACTTTCCAGGCAGGATGTTCAGCCTGCAGGCATTCTGCTCCTGACTTGAAGCCATTTCTTCAAGAGGGGAAAATATTAATCTCAACAGCAACATTTTCTATGCTGATTGAAGTTGCACTTTGGAGAAAAACCCTGTTTGCATGGGAACTGCAAGCCAATGGATCAGTGCACAATATGCAAAGATGTTTTAAAATACTTTGGGGCTGCTTTCCTCTCCTTGTATGTCAGCTGCTTTCCCGGGGGAGAAACAGTGTGATCCAGCTGCTCAGGTAAAGGGAAAGTGTGTGATCACATCCCTGTGGGAGGTGAGGCTGCTGTGCCCGGGGGTGGGGGAGCTGGTCCAGTCCCACTGCTCGGGAGCGGGGAAGCCCCTCTTTGTTTTCTTGCTTGTTTGGTTTTGTTAGAGCCTTGTCTTGGGTTTGTTTACAGAGATGTATTTTGTTTAACCAAATATTAAAAATGGAAAAAAAAAGTTTCCATATAAATGTCCTATCACTTCTGTATGTTCAATTGAATTGTTCTGTAACAAAGTATGTAAAGGATAAATAAATTTTTTTCTTTGGTTATAAAACCACCATGTTTCTGTGCATTAAGAATCTTGAACGGTGCACACTAGTGCTGAGGTAGGATCCCCTCCCAGAGAATTCCCTTAAGCCAAACGTGGCTTCCCCACCCTCTGAAGGTGACAAGGCTGTGTCAGTCCCTTAGGCACTGCATGAAATGGAGAGATCCCTACCCAGAAATCCCCAGCAGCTCTGAAAGAACTGAGCCTCCCTCAAGGACATCTATTAAAACCACACTGCTCAGGTTGGATTTATTTAATATTCCATACAAAAAAATACGCAGCTGATGTCTGTTCTACTTTATGAGGCAGAGAATCTGCGTGGATGTGATCGTCTCAAACCTGGCCTGCTGCTCCCTCGGTTCTCACACACACACAGCTGCAGTCAAAGTGTTTCTGCAGATGCATCTTCCCAAAGAGTATTTTCCGTGGGGTATTGATTGCCACCGGCACCCCTCCTTCCTCTGCTGGGAAAGTCACACTTCCTGCCACCACTGTCCTTCAGCTCCAAATCAGGCAGGAAAGCATTTGTTGTGTCTGCCTGCTGCTTCTCAAAGCCTGACCTGTGCCCCAGGGTGTTCTGAGGGGGCAAGAAGCTGGCAGAGGAGCTCCCCCGGTCCAAGTCTGTAACTGGTTATGGCAAGTGATTGAATAAAAGGAAATACTCATGATTTCTAAAGGAGAGGGGGATGCAGACAGGAGCCATCATCAGGTCCATAGGGGGGCTTCCCTCCCTCGTTATGAACAGGTCAATGTCCCAAAGGAGAACCGAAAATAAAAAGAAAAAATGCCCTGGCCCAACAAATCAACAGTTCAATATATCATAATCGCAAGGTCTTCCCACTTGATATGAATCCAACTCAGCTTCCGCAAATTAGATTTTCCCAGACAGCGGAGGCAGGGCCCCTGGCATTCCCCCTGAGAGCCCTGTGTTGGGTCCGAGGAGGATCTGGAAAGAAAACCATCGATTGAGGGGTTTCAAGGACACAAAATGTCTTGCCCTGCTGTCCCCCTCCCACAGGTATTGGTGGCACTTTGCAGCACCAGTCCCGCGTCTGCACCAGTGCCCGGCCACAGCCCCTGCTTCAGCCCCTCACGCGTCTGCTGCGACAGCCAAGGCAGTGCCCGGCCACAGCCCCTGCTTCAGCCCCTCACAGCGTATTTCGGCTGGTAAAAGCCAGGTTGTGCTTGCCAGGCACTGCCAGCAGCCTGACACTGGGCATCAGCAGGCCTGTCCAGCTGGGGCTGGCGGGGTGAGCGAGGCCACGGCGCAGAGCAGAGTGCAGGCGCTGCCGGCCAGCTCTGCGGGGCTGCGGGACACCGCGGGGCTGCGGGACACCGCGGGGCTGCGGGACACCGCGGCGCCCTCCCGCCTCACCTGTCGCTGCTGCAGCTGCTGCTGCTGCTCCATCTGCAGTTTTTCGGTTTCAAAGACGACAGGAAGAACCAGAATCATGAAGGAGGTGGTCCCAATCCACAGAGCTGCCCTAGAGAATCTGGCAAGGATAAAGAACCCTAAGAATCAGTTCTTATTGGCGCAATCCCGCGTTTCCCTCCCGTGCCTGAACCATAAGCCTGCCTCCAAATTCAACCCCGAGCTCCGGGGTGTCCCCTTATCCCCGCCCTTCCCAAGCCGCCCATAAACAAAACCCGTGATTCCGCCGCTCCCCGCAGGCCCCGCACCGCGCTAGCAGCGGCCAAAGCCACGGCGAAAGCCGGCGGAGCCGCCCGCGCCCCGCTCCGCCCGCCGGGCCCGCTCCGAGGGGCTCCGGCCCGGCCCGCCGCCCCCTCACCTGTACATCTTCTGCGCTATCGTCAGCGACAGGTCGAAGGTAGCCCCGGCCGCCGATCGGACGCTCTCGGGGAACATCTCCGTGAGCCCCCACAGCCGCTCCGCCAGCGTCTCGTCCAGCTGCGGGCGGCACCGACCACGTCAGGCCCCGCCGCACGGCCCTGCGCGCCCCGCGGGGTCACCGCGCCCGCCCGGCCTTCCCCGCCGCCTGCCCCGATACCTCCTCGTCGTCCTCCTCCTCCTCGTCGAGCTCGTCCTCCAGCTCCTCGGCCTTGCCCGCGCCGCCCTTGGGCAGCAGCTCCTCCGGGGACAGGGACGCCGCGGCCGCCATCGCCACCAGACAGGACGGAAGGAGCGGCGGCCAGAGCGCCGCCGGAAGCGCGGCGGCCCTCCCGCCACCCAGCCCGGGCGGGGCAGCGGCCCCTGGCGGCCCGGAGGAGCAGCGGCCGCCCCCCAACCCGGCCCCCTTGGCACAGCGCGACGCGTCACAAACACCCTCAGAAGCGGCTTTTAATGGCAAGGTTTTATATCAAATATGCAAAACTCTCGAGAAGGAGCATCCTGCTCGCCCAAGGCAGAGACGGTGAGGGTTGCACAAGCCGCGGGGGTCTCCGCGCTGGGGCCAGCAGGGAGGGCGGGCAGGAGCCCTCACGGAGGGAGAGCCGCTGCCCCACCGCCCGCTGCCCGCCTGCCCGGAGCAGGGCACGGCTGCCGGCAGCAAGCCGGGCAAGGTAAAGTGCTCGGAGGAAAACCGTGTTAATTACAGCGCTGTGGTGCCAAAGCAGCCATTAGCAGCACCCAGGGCGCCACACAGCGCTGGAGACACCTGGGCGCTCCAAAGTACCTCCACACCGTACCGACATGGCTGGGAGGCACAGCCAGCCCCAGCATCCCGTGGGCCAAGACCCAAACCAGCCTCTTGTTCACTTCTTCCTCCGGCTGTGCTGCTTCAGCTCCTCCAGCTCCTTCTCCATGAGGTGGGACTCGGCGGTGGTCTCAGAGAGCTGGAACGCACAGCAAACAACAGGGGGGAGTTAAAAGCTCGTGAGGCTTTTCCAGCTTCACAGCACAACTGAGATTTGCAGCCACAAGGCAGGTCCTGCGGGAGGCAATTTGTTCCTGTTGAGCAAGGGGGAAGCTGCCATGTCACGTTTCACTGAGATCGCCTGAAAAACCTGGAGAGCAGCTAGGGCTTCTGCTAAGTGTTCCAGCCACAAAAGCCATTTTCCAGTTTTAAAACACGCGAAGATTAAGGAAATAAAATATGTGTTTAGAGTGACATAAAGGCTAAGTCACTTATTAACTGTGAATAGACGTGTGTTCTATTTCCCTGAATGTCTCCAGATTTTAAGCATGAAAGCTGTGATCTTTGGGTATGATTGAATTTCTGGAAATTCTGAATTTTACTGGAAATTCTTTCCTCCAGAGTTTTACACATAGGATAGATGTATCACCATTCCTGACAGCAGATGGAAGCTTTAATCTTCTGTGACCAGAAACAGTGGCTGTAACTCGGTTTCATAGTCAGGGCAGAGGACAGAGTGGCAAGAAAAATGCCATATTCTGTACAGAAACAGGAGACATGGCGCTTGCAGGGGCTTCTCTCTCCTCAGCCACGGTGTTCACAACAAGCTCTGATGTGGGGGGACCTTCCCCTCTTTTCACAGAGGGGATCAGGTTTACTCCCACAGTCACATGGCCATTACAACAGGGTAAAGCATCAAGTGGGTGCACTGAGAACAGCCTTTTTCGGGGACCCAGCACCCTTTGCCTGGGTATCCCCACTGCTGTGGGCAGGCAGGAGGTGGGCAAAGGCTCACCATGTCCAGCAGGATGTCCACTTTCAGCCGAAGTAGGTTGTTCTCTTCCTCTAGCTGCTGGTTTCGTTTGCGCAAGCGCTGCAGTTCCCTGCGATCCCCCACGAAGCCTCCTGATTCTTGGAGGAAAGAAGGAGGTCAAAATACAGACTGTCAGCCAACCGTGGCTGCTTCAGAGCAGAGCAAGCTGAGCTGTACTCTACCTGAAACCCAGTGGCCATTTTCGAACTTCAGGCTCTGGCCAGCGAGGTTCATTGAGGGGGTGCCGTACTCCAGGCCCAGCTCAACCTCACGGGTGGATCTATCCAGCTGCAGGGAGAATACCAAGCTCAGAGCTTCACAGAATTCCAGAGCCACCCCCTGCTCTACCATTTCTCAGTGACTGGCATTCCGGTGGAAGATGCTGGTCCAAATGGCCCTGGAGCCTGGAACCCTACTTTGGTCACGTACTGCTGCAGTTGAGGACTGGTTCCTCTCACTGCCATCCCTGCACTTTCTCCCACCTACACAATCATCTCCCTGCACTTGGAGACCACTGGTGAGAAGTTTTCAGTGACAGTTCTGGACTGCAGGTGGGGTGATGATGATTCTTCCCTGAGCTATTCCATTTCTAGCGCCATGTACAGTCACAGTGATCAGGAATGGTGCTGCACTGCAGGAAGAAAGCAGCACAGTTGGAATAATAGAATATACTGAGTTGGACAGAACTCACATGGATCATTGAGTCCAGCTCCTGGCCCTGCAGAGAACCGTCCCCAAGAGCTGCACCATGTGCCTGAGAATATTGTGCAAACACTTCCAGGCTTGGGAAGTCTGTTCCAGAGCCCAATCACCCTCTGGGTGAAGAACTTTTTCCTGCCCCAGGAGCAGCTGGGAGCCCTTGTAAGGACTGTGGCACTCACAGCAGGAGCCACCCACCCCAGCCACCAAGACAGTGCTCCTGCAGCAAACCGCAGGTGCTGGCACTCACCAGGTGCAGGTTGGACAGCGAGGCCCATTTCCTGGGGGGGGTCTTCTTGGGGCTGAAGGAGTTCCCAAAGAGAGGCATTGCACGCTGCTGGCCAGCCCTAAGGCGGGCTCCTGAAGGAGCAGGAGAGACACAACAGGTCTGAGCCCGTGGGCCGAGAGCAGTGCTGCTCTCCCCAGCAGGCAGAGCCCCGCATTCTCTCCAGGGAGCTTCTCCCCAGGCAGAGCCCCCCAGCTCTCAGGCCAAGGAGCGATCCGGGGGGGTCCAGGCCGCCACCCCGCCACTGCCACCAGGCAGCACCGGCCCTGCACGGCCACGTCCCTCGCACCTCCAGCGCCACGTGGCCGAGCCGGGCGGGGACGGAGGACGACGGTGCGAGGTGTCACCCCCCGGGCCCGGCCCTCCCCGCCCCCGGCCGGTACCCCCGGCGCCGCGCGGCCCGGCACCTCGGGGGGGCACGGCCCGTACCACCCACGGGCACGCCGAGCAGCTGGAAGGGCAGCCCGCTGTGCCCGCACGGGCCACCACCGGGACGCTGCTTTGTTCCGTTCTCCCTCCCGGCATCTCACTGGCGAAAGCAGCGGGCTCGGCAAGAGCGGAGCCGACGAAGAATGCCCCCCAGCCCCCATCCCCCCCGCGCCGCAGTGGTAGGGTCAGCCCCGCGGTGCGGGGGCGGTTGGGCCGGGCTGTTCCATCGAGCTTCGCCTTAATTCCGGGGGGGGCCGCACCTCTCCGTCGGGCCGCGCCCGCTCCCGGCGCTCGTGTCCGCCGCCGGTGGGATCCGCCAGGAGCAGGAGAGACACAACAGGTCTGAGCCCGTGGGCAGAGAGCAGCGCTGTTCTCCCCAGGCATGTTCTCCCCAGGCAGAGCCCCGCATTCTCTCCAGGGAGCTTCTCCCCAGGCAGAGCCCCCCAGCTCTCAGGCCAAGGAGCGATCCGGGGGGGTCCAGGCCGCCACCCCGCCACTGCCACCAGGCAGCACCGGCCCTGCACGGCCACGTCCCTCGCACCTCCAGCGCCACGTGGCCGAGCCGGGCGGGGACGGAGGACGACGGTGCGAGGTGTCACCCCCCGGGCCCGGCCCTCCCCGCCCCCGGCCGGTACCCCCGGCGCCGCGCGGCCCGGCACCTCGGGGGGGCACGGCCCGTACCACCCACGGGCACGCCGAGCAGCAGGAAGGGCAGCCCGCTGTGCCCGCACGGGCCACCACCGGGACGCTGCTTTGTTCCGTTCTCCCTCCCGGCATCTCACTGGCGAAAGCAGCGGGCTCGGCAAGAGCGGAGCCGACGAAGAATGCCCCCCAGCCCCCATCCCCCCCGCGCCGCAGTGGTAGGGTCAGCCCCGCGGTGCGGGGGCGGTTGGGCCGGGCTGTTCCATCGAGCTTCGCCTTAATTCCGGGGGGGGCCGCACCTCTCCGTCGGGCCGCGCCCGCTCCCGGCGCTCGTGTCCGCCGCCGGTGGGATCCGCCGCCGGTGGGATCCGCCGCGTGTCCCGGGAGCGGTTTGCGGCCGCCGCGTTGCCGTGGCGATGGGATCCGCGGCTCCGCTCCGCCTCCCGTGCTGGAGGGAGGCGGGGGCGGAGGGCCGGGCGCGGGCTTGGGGGTCGGCCCTGCTCAGGGCTGCGCCAAACTCGGGTCGTGCTGACGGCGCTGTCCTTAACGCCTTCCCTAAAATGCTCGAATCGCCTGGGAGAGTGGTTAAAAATGTTTGTGGTGGGGATTGTTTGTTTATTTTTTCAGATAAATAACTAGACGCCATGAGGCAGAGAACCCTTCCTTGCTGGGAACGTTGGAGAAGAGGTGGAGGAGGTCTGGCATCCTGGACTGCTCGGGTTCAGGGGATGATGGGTGAGGAGCTGGAGAGAGCAGAGTGGTACAGAATCACAGAGCCAGTTCGGTTGGAAGAGATCTCTGAGATCATCAGGTCCTGTCTTTGGCCAAACACCACCACGTGGACATGACCGTGACACTGATGCCATGTCCAGTCTTTCCTCAAACACCTGCAGGGACGGTGACTCCACAGCAGCAGCTCCTCACACGCCTTCCTTTGAAGCATCCCAGCATCTTGATTTTTCTGTGCACGTTGCAAAGCCCTCCCTTTCAGCTCATGGTGGAATAAATTTAGATTCCTTGTGTTACTTGCTGGCTTGTGTTCCATGTGAGGTGGCAGTGGCAGTTGGTTTGGGTATTTTGAATGAATGGCATGGGTATGTAACACGTATCACCAGCACTTTTTATGTTACAGAGGCAAAATGCCACTCCTAAACTATAAAATAATTCTCCAACATGTTAGAATAGCAATCTGAAGTTACTTGCTTCATTGTTAAAAAAGCTTATGTTGAGGACTTCCTGGGGCTTTCCTGAACAATTTTTGATTAATGATGTACTAAGATGCTGACTTTAGTTAAAAGGGAACAATAAAGACAAGGAGAGAAAAAAAAAGTTAGGGGGCAGGCAGATAAAAGGAGAAGAAAAGAAGAGAATCACCTACATTTTGATTTGGTTTGTAAATGTATTAGTACTCCAGGAAAAAAAAAATCTAACACACTTTCATTCCCAGAGTGCTTAATTGGTACCCTGCCTTAAGTGAACCAGAAAATTGCTCACTTGGAATAAGAATTGGAAAAATAGCACAGTTAAATCCGGTGACTTGAGACTTGAGAAAAATTTCTGGTGCTGCTGTATTTTTTGGTAGTCCAGCTAACCAATATCTGGTTCTTGCAGGACACATGCTATAAAAACAGTTGCTTTCAGACTCAGTACAGCAGAGTCTGTGCACTGGAAAGCAGTGATTTTTTTGCATTAAGAGAAGTGATTATAATGGGGTGGGGGGTGGAAGTCAACACCTTTAAAAGTGAAATAAAAACTTGCTGTTCATAGCAGGGCCTTTGTGAAGTAGTTGTGGCTTCTATCACAATTTAATACCCACACATGTGTGCATATATTGGGTAAGAAAGATGAAAGGAAGGTCCAGACAAATGAGGGCAAGAAAAGCTGAGGGCATGTAGAATTACAATTTTGAAATGAGAACATAAAGGCAGCTCACCTAGGTGCTTATAAGAGCCAAGAACCATACAGAAGAGTGATGGATTTGGTTGGGGTGGTTTTTTCAGTAATGTTCAACTTCCTAGAAGAAACCTGTATGTTTCAGCACAGTTATTGCTTGAGTTCTCCTTGTGCTGAGCAGGATGAGTATTGAAATACACTGTCATTATTGTAAAACTAAACTGTCTCATGCATCTGGGGTCTCAGGGAGATTCCCTTACTGCCTCTTTCTGTGGAGCAGAGACTTGGAGAAAGCCAGGCAGCCCATCCCCACTGCCTTGGCACAGGAGGTGAATGCTTCTTTCTGTGCCTTGTTGCTGCACCCACGGTGAATAATTAAAAAAAAATGTCTCTGGGAATGGTCTCATAGTTGGTAGGGCTTGTCAACAAGAGTTCAGAAATCTTCTCCTGGAGACTAAGAGAAGGAGGTTCAGTGTCTTGGTTTCTGCTGTGATTTGCTTCAGGAATCTTTCTTCTTCAGCGTGGTTTGACGAAATTTAATTTCTCGCCAGACTCCATTTCCTTGAAAAATGCTGTGGAATTTCCTCACTGCACCAACCTGCCAGGGTATTCTGGCAGCAGCTTTTCATTCATTGTTTCTCCACCTACATCAGGTAGGTACCAAGACAAGAACTGTTGCTGTTTCTAGCATTGTCTCTCAGTATATTGCAAATACATACATATACATATATTTAATATAGTTTGACATATGATTTTCAGCTATGTTAAGAGCATTATGGTGTAGTAGTGTGCATCCTTCTGTTCCTGTCACCCTGTGGGGAAAAGAACACCTAGCACACACTCTTTCTCCCAGGACAATAACTACAGAGATCACTTAGGAAGTGCAAAAGCCCATTAAATGGAGAAGAACCTGCATGTTACAGTGGTTGTGTGAGGAAGCTGCCTGTGCTCCCAGGAGGACATCTTTGAGAACACTGGTGGAAGGCTGAGAGATTGACAGGATGAAGATAGGGCTGCAGCACATGGCAGTGTGGAAATTTTGGAATAGACCCAAGCCGTTCTTGGTAGCCTAATTTGGAGCATCTTCTTCGGCTTTTTTGGCTCAAAAGTGATAGAGAATCTATAGCTTAGATGTTCTCAGAGCTGCTTTTAACTCCATAGTGTTTCTCTTTTTTTTTTTTCATATACATTGGGGGATTATTATTGTTCTCTGTTATATCAGTAATTACAGGGAAACCCCATTGACTGGTGAATTCAGTAGACTTACTCTAGGCTTACTCTGAGCATTTATTTTAGTTGTTGTATTGAAAGTTGCTCCATTGTCTGGTTGTTACGAATATATAGGATTTATAAAGCCTTACCTATTGGTAACACCTGGTGGGCTAAATGAGACTGAGTTTAAAACGCTTTTTTGGCATATTGAAATTAATTCTCTGCCCAATTAAATTTTTCAGCATGAGGTAATTCTTGTTGCCTCAGTGCTGTGCAGTTAAAGATGACCTTTCTTTTAGAATCCTAGATGTTAAATAGCTCACCTATATTTTGTTGACAAAGCCGACACTTCTTTTTCTCTCTCTGTTTCTTTATTTCATTACAGCTAACTGGAGAGATAAAAGAACAGCCGTTTCACTGCTTTGTTAAGAAATGTGCTTTCCTGCCGCCTGACTGTCACAGATTCCACCACCAGGAGGCCCCTCATCCCAGTGCTTATAGCTAGGCAAAGAAAACACAAGGAGAGTGGAGCAACCCATTCACACAAAAGTAATCTGAAATTAATGCTTATCCTATAAATTGAGATTTTCAGAGTACTGTGCAAGCATCAATTAATTATTGCAAGCATCCTAATATCCCACTATCATGGATGCCATGACCTTTGGAGATAATGGAGTGTCTGTCACAGGTGGTACCCTTCATTGAATATCTGAGTGATAGCCAGAAAAGTTCATGCCTCGGTCTTCTGGATGGATCTTAGTAACCTAAAAAATAATAAAATGCAGTAAAGCACAGGTTATATTTCCCATCCCTCATGTGTGCCCTCTATCAGCCAAGAAGTATGCCTTCACCTCCTTTGCCTCTGCCTTCTCTCTTTTAGCTATTTACTTATTCACAGGTTCTTAATTCTCTTTCACTTTTCTCAGCTGGCTTTTACAGTGTCCTAAAAGTTCTAAATATCTGCACTAACACTCTTTCTGATTGTTCTATTTTGCTAACCAGACCTTTAAAGAAAGGAGGAAGGATAAATGTTTTTATCCTTATTTTTTTTACCAAATCACATATATTTTCCCTACTGGCTTTTCAAAGCTGCAGTCATTACCTTGGCTGAAATGTAGACTTTGTTGTTCAAAAGAACACTGTGTACGTGATCCCTTGACTAAAAAGAATGTAGAGTTGTCATTATTTTTCCTTAAACCCCATTTATTTTTCTCTTCACTGCTGAGTCAAGCCTTGTATATCTACTTCTGTACTTGTTTCCCCCAGTCATGTTTCGGTACTGATGAGTGCAAGACACAGCATTGCAGTGCAATTTCAGAATGGATGATAGGTGAGAACAGTTTTGCTCCTGTCAGGAAATGCAGCTAGCTCCTGCAAGCTGTAAGTTACCCTCAGTTGCTAACTGAGTTACCCCTTGTCTTTCAAACTCAGTTCCTGCCCTCCTTCCCTGAATTCACATACATACAACATGTTTACATTTGTGTACTTTGGCCTCTCTAATATGGACTAAAGTGGAAAACATGTATCCTCTGCTCTAAGAAGAAAAAAAATAAGGGTAAATGAAGGCGTGCATGAAATATGCAAAGTTCCCAGACCTCTGAGAAGGTTTTCCAATCATAGCTCACCATTCTGGCCACACTGTTCACTTGAAGGAGTTTACACAAATACACAGGCAGCTGAGCCACTCACATGCTCTGGAGAGAAGCCATTGCTTCCTGACAGAGTTTGCCACAAGGCTGTCCTTGGTGACTGGAAGACCAAAGGTTTAAAGAGCATATGCAGCCCACACAGCACTGAAAGCTTGTGTTAAGCTTTATTTCACTCTGTTCCTATTACCTGGCTACTCTTTGCTTGCTTCCACATCCGTATTTCATTATTTTCCTAGTCTCTTACTTTCACAGTCATCTGTTTCCATGGCTCACTTAAGGTGTCCTTTCCAGGAAATGATGAAACTTAAGCCTCCAGTCTGTACATTCCTGATGAGCAGATTCAGGAAAAGGGAATACAGGGAAAGGGTCTCAAGCATCTCTCTGTGTGGGTTGGTGTTTGGTGCTGTTGTAACCCTTCACCACTGGCAGCTGCTGGACACAAGATGTTTGGCCTTTGTACTGCTCTGCTGTGTTGTTTATAAGGGAGAGCAAACAGGGCCTGGATTCTAAATTCCCTGCCAAGGTAGTTTCATCTCAGGCCTCAGAAGAGCATCAGCTGTGCTTTGCCTGTACAAACAAGCACACTTGTGTATCATGGACTGCATCCTGAGATTCTGTGAAGCTCAGTGTGTGTAACATGCTATGAAGGTGGGAGAGAAGTGCTGAGTATTCTTTCCTCTTCCAAGTTCTTTCACCATTCCTTCTATACCTTCACTTAGACACACTCCAAGAAGCTCCAAGAAGCTACACTGACTGGGACTACTCCCAGTTGGAACCAGAACAATTCAAGATGAACAAACTGCTGTCATCAAAGAGAGAGTCATAAGGACACTGAGGTAAGCATTCTCCCTAGACCCTTCTATCCAAAATAAGAATTTTGTATCCAACCTGGGTGGTATTTTTTTCCCTCCAGGTCTTACTCTACACTAATTCTTGGTGTTAGAAAGGTATGCCTGTGGATGGCCTCTTATCAAATGCAAACATTGGAAGTTATGTGGTCTTTAGACAATGTGGATTCTGCAAAAACATGACAATGGACCGTGTGGCCCAGAAAGTCCTTTTGGGTATCTGCTGCCAGCTCCTATGCAGATGACATTGCTTTTCAGGCTTTTGAGGAATGCAGATGACAGCTCACCACTGGTCTGCACTACTCCAGGATGCCAATTTAGAACCCATTCCTATGAGACCTGTGAAAGCAAGGTACAGGAGTATTTACAGCATTAAATGTGAGATCTGATTGGTTTTGGTTTCCTGTTCTGTGTTGTTCCCTGGGGTAGCATGGGGTGCAAACATGAGACATGAAC